CCCCGCCCCGGCACCTGCCGTCCCCTCGGGGCGGGGGGTGGGGGCTGCATTTCAAAGCCGGCCGCCCGGCGGGCACGCCGCCCGGGGACAGCGCGGGATGAGGGCCGTCGTCGGAGGGAATTGCTCTCCGGCGTGTGGAGCGGGGCTCTCTGCACGCAGAGGCACCCCGCCGACAGGTGGATGGTCTCGTTCCCCTTCACCGGCTGCCCCGAGGAGCCTTCTGCCCAACGGCGGCCTGCGAAAGCGCCGGCTGTTAGGACGAGCCTGAGGGGACGCCATAGGGGTAGCCGCTCCACGCACTGCTTGGCCCGCATGGAAACCTCCTCTGAGCTTCCAAAGCCCGGCTGCGTCCCGTGATCCGAGCTTTGGGGGTCGGCTCCGCGCAGAGATACAGATGCCTAATAAACGCCCGTGGGCTCTTCACGTCACGCCTGAGATGCAGACGGTGGCCCAGGGCTGCAGCTTTCTAGTTTGCCCAAGGAGGGTGGGAGGGAGTGAACTCCTTGGCAGCCCTGCTGTAATTTAGGATTAGAGGTAGGACTGGGGCTGGAAAACTCAACCCTGCGTGCTAAGTACTGCTGGCTACACTGCAGCTCTTCCATGTTATGTATGGAGGACAACCTAGCAAAGATCTTGCAGGAGTGAAGTGAAGCGTGTGTCCTCCTCACCCTGAGAGACGTTTCAAATTCAGGATCAGTGCCCATGTTTCAACTAACACCAAAGAGGCGCCGAGGGCACACGCTGAGGGTACTGCATGAAGCAAAATATTTGTTGAATGAACTACTCAGGCGTGCATATTCTCGACGGCCTTGGTTTCAAAGTGTTGTAGTGTAGTCCTAACTTCAGGCATGCTGAAGCCAACATTGCTAAACTGGAAATAAGCTACTTGCTGAAAGTATGTTTTGTAGTGTAACACCGTTCAGGCTTTATAATGCTGCAATAGGCTTCCCCTGCTGCTGTACTGTAAGAAACATCTAGGTAAACTGCTGAAATGCTTCGATCTGAGCGATGTTGTATCAGCCATCGAAACAGCCAGCTTCCTAAACCGAGTCCCAAAGTTTTGTAGAAGCTCATAAGCGTGGCACTGGAGTGAGTAAAAGCGGAGAGTTAATGTCTGGCGGTATGACTTTGTGTTTCAAGGGAAGTGGTCTTATGTAAATGTTACTCCAGAGTGGGAAAGCTTTTCTATTTTTTTGCTAGCAGATAATACTATGGGGAAATGGAAATAATGTTGGAAAACAGAAGAGTAGCTTGATGCAGTGAGACATATACTAAAGCACATATAGAAAACTGAGCTGGCATCAAAACTGAGTAATCTATTGCGTTAGAATCCACTCATGATAAAAATGGAGTAGCATGAAAAGTAGTTTTGAAATCTAACTTTGGAAAGCTGTTGTGGTAACATCTTCTAAGGTTCTAAAATTAACGCAAAGACAATGAAATGACTCCAGAAGGTATAATGGCTTCTAGGTTAATCATTAAAGCAAAGAATAATGGCAAAAACATCTGCAGGAACCCAACATAGGCCCTACACTTACAACATAAACTCAGTTTTCAGGACTGGATGTGTATTACACATTATTTTCTCCTAGAATACCCACAAAACTATGATTATCTTATTATTCATATAACTAGGATTTTAGAAGAGAACTTGTTGATGTCAAGAAGAAAAAAGTCATACTGAACATGGCAATTAACACAGGAAGAGTACAGTCAGAAGAATCTGAATTGACGCTCCTTGCAAATTTGTTTCCTGCAGCACGCGCCTGCCTGAATGGAACTCCAAGATTCAGCATCTCAGGTGATGGGATGCTGTAGGATCATCAGCAGATGATGTACAGATCAGAACTCTATAGGACCATGCACATTGGCAGGACAGAAGTATGCATGTTTCAGGACAAGAGGTTTCAAGAAAAAAGCTCCATCTGTGTAACACAATGCACTTACCAGAATTTGGAAAGAAAATTATTTGAGGAAGAGGATAAAGAATGCAAACCCTAGCTCAGAATGGATCCCATACACAGAGATAGATCTGCGTGAAATCAGAAGCAATGAGTTTCTAAACTGTGATGTTGCTGACCCCACTCAGGATGCTGTCCCGTGTAGCATCCCCTTCCCCTGGAACACTGGCCCTTCAAGCTAGAAGGCAGGCTCTTCCTTTCCTTTTCAACTTGAGCTTTTTTTTCTTTTTTTTTTTTTTTTTCTGTTAGCTTGAAATCTACATCAGTCTTCTAAATCCTTTTGTTCACCTTATTGTTTGCTACTATTTCCTAATTAGTTCACATGTATTTTGTACTTGGTATGAGACAAACAACCTAGGATGGATACACAGCCCGCTTCCAAGTCCCTGCCTACAGTATCACTGTATGCTCTGTTCCCAAGTCCTTAACTCTAAATGCCTAAGTCATGCCTGGAGAAGAATCAGAGCCTAAGATTTTGTCCTTAATGGCCAAGAATAACAGGCCTCTCTTCCTTCCTCTCATATTATCTCTTTTGTGTACCATGTCTTAAACTTGAAAGGAGAGTTTAGCACCTTCCCAGCCAACTGAGTTTCTTCTTCCATAGTCACAAGAATATGGATTTAAACCTCAGGCTAAGTAAGATGTAGAACACGTTCTCACTTTCTAGGTGAGCAGCTCTGAAGCTATCTCACAAAACATGGTTATCACCAAAAGTGCTGCCTCTTCTGGCTGTGTTTTCAAAGAGAAGAGTGAATGCAATCAGACTACATAGATGGTCTGATCTCAGGCAGCAGAATAAAGGAAAGGATTTAAGCTATGAATTAAACAGTCATAGCTTAAGCTGCAAGTCTTGCAGACATGCTTTTATCACAGCTGCAACTGATGTCCAATTTCCAGACAAGTGAGTTCTGAGAGGTGCTTCCTATCTTCATTTTCCCTAGTAGCTGGCTTTGGTATCTCTTCACTTCCAATGGACATGCTAGCACTAGTACCCAACTCCCCCTAGTCACTGAATGTAGAGGGTAGGCTCCCACTCGCTAAACCCTGGTGCACCCAACTGTGTTTGGGAATCTGAACATCCCAGATGTGGTTGTGTTGGTGTGGACTGAGACCGCCTCGGTAAAGTTCAGAAGGGAATCCTCTAGCATATGTAGTCCTGGTCTGCAGGAATGTAGCCTGCTTCGCCCTCCACTCAGCTCTTCCAAAGCTGGAGATGGAATAACGACATCCTTTGAGGGTAGACCTGCACTCATGGATAATAGTAGGAATTTGCTATGGCCCACAACTGTATTTCAGAGTGATGGATGCAAAACTAGAGGGACTCTCTCGTCTTCCTCACAAATACACCTTGCAATGCCTGTCCCTATTTGCACATTGCCTCAAGAGCGAAACACAAGTATTACATTTTATCATAGAAAATAAAATATTCCACATTACTCCTGAACTGGGGATGCTCAGTTCCAGAACTATGTTTTTAGATGTTACACAATTAATGTACACAGCACTATTCAGCACAGAGTACTGGAGGACTGGAAAGACTTAACTGAGAGGTGATTTTCTGACTTATCTGTAAAATCACTTGTATCGGCTTGCATCGGGACCTAGATTACAGTTGCCACTGGGATAAGCACTGTCCAAAGAGCTTACAAAATAAATTCAGTATTTCAAGGAACACTCAAGAACTGAGGCAGTCATCTAATACTTCTACAATAACTTCACATTCAGAAAAAAACCCCTTAAATGTTATTTTCAATGCTGAGTGAAAACCAGAGCTTTCCTTGAAAACAAGCTAGGAAAGCAGGGTCTTTTCAATGAGGCTACATAGCTAGGGACTACTGTGGCAGCAAATACAGGTAGTGCTAATGTGAGAGTACATTTTCAGAGAAGACTGTGCACAATTTGTGTTATTAAAGAAGGTATATTATCAGATGTTTGTTGCAAACATAAAAAAAAAAAGAGAAAAACATCCTGCCTAGCTAAGGGTGCTTTCATTTAAGGAAACATCGAAGCATGGAGTTAGGTCTATTAATATTCAGGTCAGTTCTCATGCACCCACCATGACCTCACTGCTTTCTTGACTCAGCAAAAAAAGGGGTTTATGAAAAAAACATGAAAACACATCTCAATTTTTTTGGAAAGCTACTATCAGTTAAACCTGTGCAAATATTTTCAGTATTAATACTCTCTCCTATGCTTCCCCACCAAAGTACTGAAAATGCACATTCCTACTTTTGTAAAGAGGGAAAAAAGCTCCAAAGCAACCAGACAATTACTTTGACATTATTTAGAGTAAAAAAAGGGCTCTAAATTTTGACTTCTGGAGACATACCCAGAATTAAATCAACTGTCGAACATAAGTACAGGAAGTAATTTTAATTCCATCAGTATTAGTGGAGATTTAACTTTTTTTTCAGCTCTTTCCTACAAAACAGGCAAACATGACCAAAATCTGACCAAACAGCCTGAAAGATCAAGAGTTAAACCCATGAAATTTTGGTTCACTCTTTTCCTGTGTATCAACCATAACTTAAAACTACCAACAAGAAAACTGTACCTAAAGTTGATCAACCCAGACTCCTGCAGGCTCTGAACATGTATAAAGTATTGTGAAACAATGCAAATGCAAAATATTCTGAAAGACTTGCCATCTACTGGAATTTCTAGATATACTATTTAGACTTATTTTACAAAAGAAACATGTTCTTTGCAAGAATACAGTTCTACAAAGCAGATACTACAAAATATTTTCAATCCAAGTAATGAAAGATTATTTTTACATGAACAAATCTGGGACTCCAAAGAGCTGAGCATGTGATAATACAACGTGTGTGACCATCCACAACAGAGAAGTAGAAAAATGATGACGGTCATATTCTACTTTGTGATAGGGAAATCTGGTAAGTGATACAAATAATGGACATATGATAGAAGAAATGACTGGAGGCAAAGTAGAAAGTCTGTGGGTTTTAAGCATTCTGATTTTTAATTAAGGAAACATTCTCTGTGGCCTGACATGCAGGGGTTTTGTTTTAAGCTGTTGTCTCCTCAATCTCTCAAAAAGTGGATCCCCATCCTCCAAGTAGCCAGCAGGAATCTGCTAGGCTGAAGTGACTGACTGATATAATTATGGAGGGCAGTGTGCGAGTACCACGTGTTGAATGCATGTTGCACATTTGAAAATACCAGGCAACATTTCAGCTTCTGAGGAAGCTGTACATAGCACTACGCACTCCTTCACACTTCAGTCATGCTCTACAGCAAAAGTTACTGTCAAGCATTTGGACTCCCATCTCAGGGAGTAGTACTAATATTATAAGTGTATTCACAGCAACCTATTTTTTGTTCCATGTTATTTTTTCTAAGATAAATTTTTAGGGATGAAGAGTCCAGTGCATGACATCTTTCATTGTAAGTTGCTAATTATCTACCTAATTATTTACTTGCACTATAGGAAGAAATGCTTGAAATTTAATGAATAGATACAAAGAGTAAATAATAAGTAAATAATATTTTGTTCTGGGTCTAAAAATAAGAAAAAACAGGTGAGTTAAGTTCTGTTATTAAAAACAGCACTTGCCATTATATGTCTAAGGCTTCCAACGATAGTCTTTAGATCAGACTTGTTAAGGGAGAAGCCGCTGCCCAAGCATTCATACACCACCCGAGACTTTACCTGCTAGGACCAGAGTCCCTTCGCAGCGGGCTACTCCAGTGAGCCAAGGGGTGCCCCTTTCGACTCCTCACATACACACACACACAGAGTCACCCTCAGGTGCTTCTTCTTTCCTCAGGCTCAACCCTAGGTTCCCTGAAGCACAATCTCTCATCAAGGCCTTCAAAATAAAAAGTGTGATTTATTCTATCTATGGTGCACAAATTCAGCCAGCTTAAGCTGAGTGCCTCCAGAGAGGGACCCCCAACACTAAACTCCCTGGGCAATTATACCCTTACAATCTAAGTTCCTGCCACTCACACAATAGTCTGGTCCAGCAGTAATATTTGGGTCTGGGGTCATCTTCTCTCTCACTAGGTCCTTTTTCTCATCTCCAGGCAGGTTCTTTCTCTTTCCTGTTTTTTAGGCTAGTTGTTACTATGGCTCCTTTTCCTAGCTCAAAATGGGTCTGAGGCTTTCCAAATCTTCTTATTCCTCCCATCTGAGAATAGGTCAACCTTAAGCAAAAGCATTAAGCAAGCTGCAAGTTCTGCCTTATCATGAACGACTACTTTTAAGCAGCTAAGCAAAGTCCTTGAAGCCCTCCAAAACGTATTAACAGCCTCTATAATTTATATACATTCCTACGCTCACAATCTTAACCCATTATTGCCATGTGCTGTTTACATCTCATTCAGGTGTGGTCTGCATGCTCATATAGCTGAGCTTTGCCACCTTCCACAACAGACTGTAGATAATATTCTGCCATAATTTTAGATATTTCAGAAGGAGGGCATGGAGGAAGAAAAAAAGCATTCAACTACATCATAAAACCTGTGTGTATGTGGGTATTAATCTGTAGCTTTTCTTGAAAGTTTTGGTATGAGTAAACAAATCTCCAGTGTCATAGAATCTCTGAGAACACATTCTGTACTACTTCAGTGAGGATGAAGTATTTTAAAAAAACATGCATTCTTATTTAATATGCTACGTTAATATGCTTTATAGTACTTAATATGCTATGTTTAAATTCTAAGCTAAACAAATCCTATTTCCAGAGCAATCAAAACTACTCCTATGAAAGAGGCTGTATTTCCAGGAAAAGTTAAATATCACCAGGTTAGAAGTATATTTTGTTCTTTGTGTATGTACCTATTAACTCTGATGAGATAGTATATTGGCAGAAATTTAGATGAATAAACCCAGAAACTCATGAACTTAAACAATCCTTTAATATAGCAAACATATCCAACTTTCAAATATAAACTGGAACCAACTAACAAAAAAGAAACTCAAAACAACTTTCTGAATGCCAAAAAGGGCTTATGCAAAACAGTGCACATTTATTCGAGGTATCGTATCCATGAAAACAAAACAAAACAAACCCAACTATCTACATTTAAAAAGAATTTTTACTTAGCAAGGCAAAAGAAGTTAGGGGCACATACACAGTAAACAAATGTAAACAGTGTAAAAATACAGGATGTTAGAACCAACCAACCCAAAGCTTTGGTTATGAAAACTGAAATAACCCCATATATTAAAGAAAAATAAACCAGAGGCATGCAAAATATTGTTAAAATACATTCATCCATGTGGCTAAGTGAAAGTCACAAGCTAGTGAGATGGATTTAGAAATGCAGTTTTCCTTCTTTCTTTATGTTCCTTAGATTGATTGTCATTCAATTTTCCACTGAAGTGGAATGGCTGATGAAAACCTTTCAGCCTTCTTAACAAACTGGTAACTGAGTTTTTGAAGACTCCAAACAGGTGTTGCAAAGGAGGTTTAGGTAATTGTGTTTTTATGACATAGCATGATACACAACCTCACTCAAATGCTACAAACAAATAGTGCATGATCTGTTACCATTCTGGAAGGCAATAGCTTGGAGAACAGTCAAGTTGCTCCAGATGGAATTGAAAGATTTTCGAGTTTCTCCTCACAAGAGCAGTGACAAACTCCATGGCAAATCAGGTAAGTCACTTAACATTTTATTTGCAACACAGAATATTTTGGCAACCAAGGTATGTTAAAGGAATCTCAATAGTGACCTACAGTGCACGTGCTTTTCAGAAAACTGAAGTTTTGTTTCAGATATGCATCAGGAGCCTAAACATCACAAGGCTTTTCTCATTGAAGCAGCTGTACCGATGTCATCCGCCTTAGATGCACCTACTGGTCTTTCTTGTCTTCTGCTTCATTTAAACTGCCCTGAAAAAAGACAGATTAAAAATATTTTTTTTGTGCTTGGCAAGATCAGAAACTATTGACTCCAGATGCCATGTTTTGCCCCCTTGCAGTCATACCTGATTTGTTCACTATACACCCTTCAAAGCTGTAGTCCCATCAATACTACCCCACGACACGTGCACTTCTGACCCTAGTACAGTAACAGCCATGCAGCCGCCTTCTGCTCCCTGTTCACGTTACAGCTGAACTGTGCAGCAAACTCAGCAGAAAACATTTTCTGTTATCAGCTTATTTATCCCTAGGAGCTGCATCTACTATGTGCTCAGTACCTTCTGTTCTTTCCATTCAGAGGCAAACACAGAAAACTGCAAGGATGTGTGTTCTAGACCACAAGGCTGTTAGAAATGCAGCAGGACTACTACGGCTCATTACACAGGGAAGCACAACAAAGATAGGACATGCATGGTGGTCTTAATTCAAATACAGAGATCAGTTGAGCAATCTCTCTAAGAGTATAGGGTGAGGCTGGGAATCAGTAAGCAGCTTTACAGAGTACAGGAAAGATTATAACCAGCTCAAATTTGCCTTTTTGGTTTTTAATTTTATTAATACAGGACCAACAAATAGCTCCTCTTGAAAAGCAGGTCACCATAATTTTAACATCAATCGTATTTTCTTCCAAGCCCATTCTTTGTAAACAGGTTAACTTTCATTTTTATTCAATTTTGGTTGAACTCTGAGACAGATGTTATGTACGGAACATACAAACACCTGTCAGACAACTTAAAGAACCAGGCAGGGCTCTCAGTTCTACAAGAAATAATTACTGCATATATTATGGGTATTATAGCCATGCACATATGCAAACTGAATCAAACTGCTAATTCAGCTTTTGCTTGCTATGTAGGTTTTTTATTATTTTGTACTTCAGTTTGAATTTTTATAGTAGCCTGTTTTTAGCCTAGGCTTGGGGTTTTTGTTTTGGTTTTGTTCTTGCATATCAACAGTATTGCAACATTTATAATCCAGTATTGCAAAAACATGTTTAAAGAGCAAACAAAATAAAATTACTCTTATATATACCACACACACACACTACTCCTATCATTTTCTTACATGATTTCAGTTTGATCATCACGTGCAAAACTACCTGAATCTTATTTCCCAAGTGACAGCAAAATTGAGTCTAACAATGACCTGAGCTTTGTCACCTGAAGTGCAAAAAAGAAAATGCTCATAGCTTAGCCGTCCAGTCCTTGAAAAACAAAATTCTACCATTTTGATAAAGTTTAAGGAGGGTTGCCCATTGTAACTTTATGCTAAAGATTTTGGTAAATTCTCTTGCATAATAAATAACCAACAAGCAGAATTTTGCTGGTACAATTTCAGAACATCATGCTCATATAGCCATCCAGAACTACCTACCTGAAGCCGTTCATATTCTTTCATCAGATGATCATATTCTCTTTTAAGGCCTTCAGACTGCTTTTTAACTGCAGTCACTTCATTATTTGCCTTGTGGAGAGCTGTAAAATATCAGAATTCTTGTTTTAATTATTACTTATATTCCTGCAGTTCCTCAGAGCCCTAGTTATGTGTTAAGGCTCCACTGCACTAGACAGTCCTTCCTCTAAAAAAAGCTTAAATTTGAAACAGAGCATCACAGATGGACACAGCAAGAGATGTGCAGGACAGGAAGGGGAAAGAGAATGGCTTGTGTTCAGGAAGAGCAGCGCAAGGAACAGGAAGGGGTTGTAAGAAAGGTAAGAGCAAGACCAATAAACTGTTGACAGAGGTGACAAGTTAGTGATGACTACAGTGTTCTGCCAATTTGCAGAGACAGTTCTAGAAAAACAAAACTCTACAACCCCCAAACCAAAACTGTTAGCCCTCTTAAAACAAAGAGGAAACTCAAACATTGAGCAAGACTTTAGCAAAGCAACTGAGGCCATCTATAATATGTGGGGGAAAAAGAGAGAGATAATACATTATTATTGTAGCATAGACCCCTCTTTTTCACCCTGCTATATATTTTACCATGCATGAGTGAATTCATTAGAAGCATCACTTCATGGATGAGAAGACAGAAATGGTGGTGGTAGGGTAGACAACTGTGAACAGTTTTTTAATGCGATAGAAAGTAATTATTACTCTACTCACAATCTCAACAGCAATAAACTGAGAGCATGTCTCTGCTGCAGTACAAAACTGCCCAGGACTCCATAGGGGCTAATTTACAATGCAGGGTACATCAGCATAAAGTTTCATGAAGCCATTACTCCTAAGCTGTCATGTAAACATTCAAATAAGGTCATTTAGACATTTTTATATTTCTCTGCTATAGGTATCTCAGGCATCTTTATATTTCTCTGCTGTAGCAGCACAGGCATACCCTAAACTTGATCTATTCATGCTAAAACAGAGAAACATTGTTAATGACCTATAAGGCTGCCTCACACAGCCGTATTTAAAAAACAAATCTCAATGGTACAAACAAAAAAAGAAACATTTGCAGTTTTCTGTGTTCCAAAAATGTGGATCTATCCCTCAATCATGAGCTCCCTGAGAGAGACTGTTCTTTCCCAGAGACCTCCAAGACACTCAGGAATTGCACCACCTCTGTAAGAGCCTGCTCTCAAAGGATGAGGAGCTAGATGTGTTTTTTGTTAAGCACCTAGCTACAATCACTCCGGTCTGAACCATGTTTCTCTTTGGGTGCTAGTTCCTGAAACATCAGAACACAAGATTTGACCACTCTCCTACATGCAAAAAGGAAAACTCCCTCCACCAGCATTTCTGCTATTTTCAATTAATTTGAATGTATAGATTCAAAATCATTCTCATTTTAAAGTAGTCTGCAAGTGGTTTTCCAGTAATAGGATTTTTACCTAGTCTGAAATTCTGGTCTACTGAAGTTAATTACGCTTATGTCTATTGATTCCATCATGGTCAAAAATTCATCCCATCTCTTTACATCCTCTCATTTCCATACTCTGACACAGATATCCTTCATCATTTAATGCATTCTTGACAGCATCAATACAAAAAACATTTTCTAAAGGTTTGGTATTTGGAATAACCATGATTTCCACGCATCTGACAAGTCAAACCCCATTGCATTTACTCTCTCTCTCTGATCTTGCTACTGTTTAAAATATTCAACACTAAAATTTGGCTATCACTCTGAAGTAAACTTGTGACAATTTGATAAGCTTCTGAATTTTAAGTTGTAGACAAAAAACATACGCATATGCCATTTTGCCTCTAATCTTTTAATTAGAAAGCTAAATTTTGCCTTTGTTTAAACGTTCTTGTACATAGTAAGCTATAGTAAAAATAAGCAATACTTCATTTCTGGAGAAGTCATAACTCAATGTTATTAATCTAATACTATTTATCTGTTTACAAGCAGCAGCACAGTAGTTTAGCTGCAACTAAAAACTATGGTATCTTTAAAACATGAATAAAATATCTAAAAGTATCTGCAAACCAAGAGAGCAAACAAGCAACAGCATTGTTTCAATGTTTTGACCAAAACAGATGTATGACAGGAATACCTCACCTAACCCTGGAAGAAGAAAAAGCAAAGAACAAGATTGTCCTTTCCACCTGTGTTGGCTATGGACAAAAAAAAACCCCAAAACAACAAAAAACAACAAACCAACAAACTCAGACTCATTCCTGTTGGGGCCACACAATAAAAAGGAGTGTCACATCTCTGATGATGTGAATTCCCCAGCGTACCAACTTTTCTGGATGTCTTCTTGTCAAGCAAGAGAGACCATCCATACATCACTGCTGAACTATTTTACATCACTACTGAACTATTTTGCCATTGCATGAGCACTGCAGTGCAGCCAAGTCGATCATACAGGTATATTGTTTGTCATATGGATCATATCATATGAACACTGATCCAGCACAAAACAGAAGATCCTTTGTGTGCATAATACAGTCAGTTATTACTTCTGGCTTCCATCTGGCCTGTTACTTTGCCTCACAGGAGACAGAACAGCTGGACTGGCAGCAAGCAAAACCCAACAGCTAATTGTTCCTACCAAGTAAATGCATGAGCAGGTAAGGAGGTGAGAATGCTACTTCTACATTAATGCAGCTAATGAGAGGAATAGTCACTAAGTCCCAAAACTGGAACCCAGCCTCAGTACTGTGAGAGGTGGGCTATCCTTCTCCATTCCTTCCCCTTCCCTTCAAAGAAAAATCAACCAAAATATTCTTTGGCAGTATATCAACAGAAGACATTTATGGAAAACTTCATCCCTTTACACTGAATGTGTGACTGCAGGTCCATAAACTAATGTAACGTGTACAATCTGGGAGAAGTAGAGAACTTGTCCTTCCCTTACCACACTCTCTGTATCCTTTTCCAGGATAGATAGTTTACTTCAGATTCCTTTCAAGTTGAAGCATGATGAGGAATAAAATTGCTCTGAAGACGTTACCACAGCCCAGCAGCTATAGCATTTCTATTACCTTCTCATTTCAACAAGGATGGAGAACCAAACAGTAAAACAAAACCAAACAGCAACAAAAGCAACCAATGATTCTTTGGGCATTTCCCTGCACAACTACTAGTCCTGGTCTGACTAAATCACTTGACTTACAGTGCTTGCTACTAAGGAAACGATCTGGAACTTAAATTAGCATTGCTCACAATACAAGTCTAAAACCCAAGTGATTTGGACTAGTTTAAGACTAAGAAAGACCGCTCTCTTTTAGGAGTCTTCAAGTTGAGAAAGAGCTATTCACATTTAAGAATCTAGGCACTGACGGGACAAGAGATTTGCCAACAAATACGCTGTAAAGCTGGGAACACAACTCCAGTCAAGTAATTCCATACTAATTCTGAATTCTCTTCTTAAGATGTGATGGTCAGATAAAGTTTAAAAAGAGAAGGCACGGCCAAAAAATTACATACAAATTTGCTTGAAGTACCTTTCACAACATCAAATGAAATTTTGTTACAAAAGGGATGTTACAGCATAAATGACCTTGTTTAACAAAACCATCCTTGCTGTATGCAGTGCCATCCCTTCGAATCAACAAATATGAATATCAACTCTTGCTGCATGTGACATTGTGCAATGGCTCTCAACCAAGGTTATGATCTCACAGTTAAAAAGTAAGGTTAAGTGAAATGGACTTTGTTTCTAAACCTCCCTCTGACATTGGCTAAATAACATGAGATGGTGGCCAATTCTTTTAACTTGTATTTCCTATTCCCAGCTTACAAAAGAAAGCTGATAGGGTTTTTTTTGGGGGGGGGGGAGGGAGGGGTTTGTTTTTAAAAACTGGAGTGCATCAGTTGAGCTCATAAATATAGTTTTCCTACATGGCACTAGCCTGCCTGGCAACACAAAGGCCAAGCTGAACTCTCACTGGCAGCAACAGTTCTATGAACTGTATTCCTAATGTCTGTATTGTTTATATCTTTCTAACACCTAATAATCTTAGCATTTAAGTGAAAATTGTACATCTGTACATGCATACTTTCTAGAATAGTTAACAATTAAAATCTATTTCAAAACTAGCCCTCCACATGAATTGTTGCTCTCTTATTGTCTCCTACAACACCATGCAACCATGAAACAAAAAGCACTCGTGATGCATTCTGTACACAAAACAAACCTCATTAATGGATGCATGGACTTTTCATCAGAATTTCATCCTGCCCCACTGTATGCCTATGGCAATATATAAATAGAGAGTATTTTCAGAAAAAGTTGAACTAAAGCTCAAAAGCATCTAAATGACTTTGATGAGTCAGTACACATTTCACAAAGTGAAATCCTAATGCCAGAGACAAAGAAATGGTCTTTGGATTTTGTCTCAGTGTGGCACTACAGACTTGGCTCAAAGATGCCATAAGGTCATAGCTCAGTAACTGCACACAGGTGCTGGGGACCGCAATGCCCATTATGCTACATCAGATGCAGGCAGAAGGTTTAGGTGTGTGTTTAGAAGAGTGAGGGGTCAACGAGTTGGGCAGGAGTCTGCCACCAGTGTGTTCTGCTGCAAGACTTGATCAATACTAGTTGTTCTGTATAAATTTCTGTAGTATAAATGAAGCTGTAGCCTTTACCACACACTAGGACAGCGTCACCAAAAAAATGACCAGAGACAGAAGGTGAAACAGTACAGCATTGCAGAAGTCTCCCTCCTGCCCAAAGGGTCCCATAGTAACAAATGGACATTTCACACATCAGCATTTCCACAGTGTGGGATCTGTAAGTGAGAAAAGGAAGTTAATGGACCAAAAGTCCTGCTCCTGCCCCTAACCCAAGGACCACTGTAAGGACAGCTGCTTTATGAAATTCTCTCAGACTCTGACCTCATACCCAGTTGCAGATAGTTTGTTTTATTGTAGCTTTTTGGATTGTTTTCAAAACTATCAAAATGAAACCATATCATAGCACCTCTTCTTTACCCAGAAAATTCCTGTAGGTTTGAGACCAGCAGCCATACTGAGCACCTTTAATCATCTGAATCAACATTTTGTTAGAAATATGTCAAAAGTGTAGCAGGAGAAACATTTTCAACACCTGCACTGGGTGCTCCTATGAGTACATATATTTATTTCTAGGTATCAGTGAGACATTTTTCATAATATACAAGTGTATCAATAAAATACCGTCTTGGAAGGTTTCTAAACAGTCATGTTATTACATGTCCAGGTATGCTAAAAATGGATTTAGGCTCTGAAAGTGCTAGCCCCACTGCTGGGTGCCTATAAACCCCCCCAGTATGTGGGTCTGCAATAATGTAGTGAAGAACTAGCCCCCTTTCCTTCACTTCCACAATAAAGCAAAAAAGGGCATCAAGGGGGATAGGAAAGTCAAGTCTGAAAAGAAAACAAATTTGGCTGAGATCTTTGTCCCTCATTTCCAACTTTTCCTCAGATTTTAGTAATTTCACTACTCAGCCTCTTTGTCTTGTATTTTCATTCTTCCTCCCCACCTGCCTAGAGCACAGTAGGTGGCAAAATGTCTTCCTAACTTCGGATTTCACTTATGGTTAAGTGGACAAAAAAAAGGTAGACTATGTTTCCTGTAAAAGGTAGAAAGCTGAAGAACTAGAGATGAGTCTCATGAAAGTCTGCAATAATCACTGTCTACACTATAATCTCAGTCAGAATTTCAGAAAGAGGAGACAAAGATTTTCTCTGCCAGAAGTTATAAATACTGCATCAAAACTTTACAGAAAATTTGGGTCTCCCCTGAAGTCATAGCACTAATCTGATACTAAACTGCATTATTTAAACGTAAAGCAGACCTACTCTTAGGAAGCAGACTTACATTTAGGATTCCTCCTAGGTGCCACTCTATTGAGGTAACCCGCCTTTCAACATGTGGCCTACTATAAGGTAATATAAACCCTATCACCATGCATAAGTTGCTTAACAAATGTACCAGACCAGAGCAATGGATATTCAAAACTGCTCTCTGAAAAATATTATACTTGTTTTTCTTCCAAGCATCAAAAAAACCCCCAAAACCCCAACCAAACAAGAACAAAATCCACATTTCCGACTCTTACTGAGCCTATAGCTGAAAAAACAAACAAACAGAAAATCCCCCAAAACCAAACCAATAAAGTTTTCCTTTTTACACTAATTTTGCCTTGTTTTATTACTAGGTGACACCCCTGACACTCTTCCCCAGCCCCCAATTTCATGGATTGGACTTTGTGGACACAACGGAAAGGTTACTTTAGTCAGGTGAGCTCAGTGGCATGAAACAAATTGTTAAGAAGAAGTAAAACAAGCTTTTCAATCTCAGCTTTGATTTTGTGTAACGCATTGCTCGCACTTAGCGAGCATGGAACTCAACATTCACCTGCTCAGTTGCAGAAGTTTCAAAAGAAAACAGTAAATTTGATTCACATTAAATCTCTAACACTCCATAGAAAGCTGTGCCTACTGATGTGGTTATTAACAAGTACTTTAAGCTTTCTGGCTATCAGTTTGATCAAAATAACGTATAAGAAAACTTATTTTTTTTATAAGATAGACATACCTTAACACCATCTAGCTGACGATGGTAATTAACATAACCATGGGATTTTCTGTTTTGGCAATGAGGGGGATGGCATCAGGGGAAGGATTTTAAGTATTTTCCTATTCATTCCTTAAAGAGACCCTCTCCTCCACTTTCCCCCCCTAATAACAGACTCAAGCATGCCTTAATTTATACATCTTTTGGATGGACAACAGCCCACAGGGAGAATGCAGCTGAAGCAGCATGTGGTAAATCTATTTATTCCTTAGCTTTCTCTAGCATTCCTGACTGAAAAGCTTACATTATACTAGTGTTACAGACCACCAGTTAGTTTAAATAAAACATACGCATTTAAGTTTTTCATTGATCCTGTCACTTCAAAGGCAGTTTTCCCCCCTTTCTTTAAGAAAACAGCAGGAGAGGGAAAGCCCACAATCAAACCTGCCTGAGAATGTGAACTAATGAGACTCTCTATTTAAGGATTCTTGTTGCTTCAATCCCAGCTGAAAACAGCTGTTCTACAGTTCTTGTTCGTCTTCCCAGTGGACAATGAAAAATGATTCATGAAATATTTGTTGTTATTCTTACAGCTTTGTTGCAGTGCCATGCAATATAAAAGCAGGGCTGTGTTTTGATGACAACATGTTATCTGGTACCACAAAAATCTATATTTTGTTACAGTCTGAACATCTGATTAATGCTTACAAGGTCACAGGCAGTGTTATCTTAAAAACACTAATTTCAGATGAGCAGGTGTTCATAAGCATCACACACCTTGACAGATCCCAGTAAGACAGAACCAAACAGGTAAAATCTGCTTCTGTCTCAATTTGGGTTGCCAAGAAAGCAGTTTTGACAACCTAAACCTTAAACACGGAAGCTGCTAACAAAAGTATTATGTTACAGATTGCAAGGCATGTTTCCTTGTAGACAAAAAAAAAAAAAAAAAAAAAAATTAAAAAAAAAAAACTAATGCCTCTGCTGCAGGAGATATATAAATTTAGAATACTAGTCAAGCACTTTTCTGCTGACTGAAACCCTACTTTACAGAAAAACCCTCAACCATATACTTCCCCATTTTATACAGGGAGAGTGGCTGATATGTACGACATGAAAGATCATGCCTAAATCTGATGCCTATAAGCAACCTGCAATTGATTCCATATCCTGGTCATGTCATTGATGAAGACGAGTCAACACCACTTAAATATATCAGTTCAATTTGTTAATTGTAATTATTAACAATTAATAATTAAGGTGCTCAAATTACACATTTTCATAATGAAAACATTTACTAAAATATAGGAATGACAACGGCATGTTTTTCCAGTTCCTAGTCAAATGTGAAGAAACCCCAAGCCAAGTGTTGTGTAAATTGATGAAGTTAGTTAATGCTATACCTAGGATAAATTTTTGACATCCAGTGTTGAAATCATCTTTTTCTTAATTGCAAAGAAGTCCTAACCAATACTTACCATCTGATGTCATCTGTAGCTCTGCTTTCAAATGTTCAACTTCTTTCTTCAACTTTTCATCAGTTGCTTCTGCTGACTCTTTCTTTTTACTGCTTCCTTTTTCACTCAAGGCCTGTTAAAAACAGTTGCTACAATTAATTTTGGTTTTGTTAGTCTTATATTAATGCCAAACAACCAGAGAATGTCAGCCTTGATCTTGCAAAGTGACAGGTTTTATCAAGCGCTAACATGACACAGGCAGATACTCAGTCATTCTGGGAAAAAAAAAAAAGCTCAATGTTTTAAGTTGATAGTAATGGCATACCTGTAGTAGTATGGCATTACCTCCTGTGTAAAAGTACTTTGTATCTCTGCATCAAGCCCACAGCTCCTGTTTAGGTTACAAATGGCTTTTCCAGAAGACATACACTGGGACTGCAAGTGACAGAACACTGCCATGTTTATGCGCAACTTGTTCTAATAATTTATTCTGGTTTAAATGATGTAATACACCACAAATCTCTCCTTGTAGGTTTGCAGCTACTTCTTCAATCTTCAGAATACCTCAATACCCAGATAAGATTTCCACTGAAACTCAAGAAAAAATGAGGAAAGGATTCAGGAAGAGCCCTGTAAGTACTAGACACAAGAGCAGTTTACTCCCTGTACCCCCGTACTCTGAAAATGTAGGCACTACTATACTTATGCATGCTTTTATCATTAAGGCAATTGCTACTGATGATTTAAAGTATCACATGTTAAGGATTATACCCCATAATTAGACTCTTTGCTCATAGAGCCTCTATTATCCAACCAAGCATCATCTCTGTTATGAAAATGGCAAAAGAAGTGGTGAATGCTTAATGGGAAAAGTAGAACAACTGAGATGAACAGCTGTTAGGTGAACTCCTGATATTAGAGCTTACTGGGCACAGGTGGGAGCAGAGTGGAAAGATTACTTTAGGAAGAAGGAAAAGAACTGTTTATAAAGACTGGGAAACAATCCAAAGAAAAGAGCTGAACAAAGTTTTCCAGAAGCTATTTAACCAAAGAGCAGAGACTGCATTTGACTGTGGGTAACAAAACCATAGCCAATTTGTCATGAAATTGGCCACAGATTGCCTCCTTTACTTTGTGCTCACCTCCTTCTATTAATACACAAACAGTTATTTCTGTAAACTTTTATCTCAAATCCTGTGCTCCAGGGAACCTCTGAACAGGAGGCAGTGCAGACCTAGCACTTACAGTAATTATACATACAGCCAGTGCCTTATATGCAATTGCTCTTGCCTCTGTCTGATGCTGGAATGAAGCACACTTGTAAATGAACACAAATGCAGGGGTCAAGCCACAGAGGAAACTAAGTTATAGCATCTCGAAAAAGTTAAAATAATCCAACTCTAAACACCTTACATCTCCAGCGCAATGGAGATCCAGCCACAGTATACTGTCTGTACCTGTGGCTACCACTGTTTTTGCAAACCATGCAATCAAACACATAAATAGAAACAGACAGAAATACAGTTTGCAGTTTCTGGCTATCGCTTACAAGCGGCTAAGAGAATGTGTTGCTAAGAGAATGTGAAAGCAGAACAAAAAGAGGACTTTTGGCCAAATCCCAACAGGACAGACAGGGAAAAAGAAAAAAAAAAAAAAAAAGCACCAGCATGCAGTAAAGAGACAAATTCCATGGCAGAGGGAGGGAGTCCGGATAATTTTGACAAAATACCAAATCCCAAAATTTTGGAATAATTTCATACTTGGGAAATACCTAACACACCCCCTAGTGATCCTTGTTTTACAACACCTCTCAAACAACTGGATTTTTTTGCATCCCTTCTAGTACTTTTTGTCCAGAGTCTGTTCTCTTTGTCTGAAGATTTATTGCAAAAAAGTTAGTGCTGGTAACCATAGACACTGCTTCAGACAAACTGGAAGGAAACCTGTACACACCTGCAGTGAATTTTGTTTTGACAATGTGCCAGACTGAAGAATGCTGTAAAATTCTTCATACCCTGGATATCTGCACTCTAGCTTATAGTTCAATCTCTTCCAACAGAAGTCAAACTAACCAATTACAAGAAAAGATTTCATACATTTATCTTTATCTGACTTCCCTTCCTGTGTACTTCCTACTTATATTGAACAGACAAATGATAGCTTAATTTTCTCCATTCTTCTCATAAAAATAACATATCTTTGGTCCATTGGTGGTTCTTTTAAGTAAGAAATTTTTGGCAATATCTTCATTAATACTATGGCAGTGCCTTACTGAGAAAGGAAGGTATTAGGAAATTGGCTGACCCACCATAAAAATAGATGCAAGAATACAAAATGACAATAAATATGAAAGACCAATTTTACAAGTTAGAAAAGACATTTCAGGACTGGAGCAAATCCTATTTAGAAGAAACAGCCAGCAGAAGAACAGATACACTGTAGGCTTTTCCATACTGGACTGCTATAGCCCTGACCTAAACAGCCAACTGTTTAGGATAAAAAAAAATAAAATTAGTGTCCCCCTCTACTTTGCTACAATTAAATTCAGAGAAATATTTTAAGACTATATTGCTACTTTGATGAAATTTGTACAGGAAAGAAAGAACTTCATTTATTTGGATTACTTTAGTTTTCTTTGCTAATAAAATGCTACTGAAATTTGTATTCAGTATTCTGAATTACATATTATAAGAACACTGTTCTTCCTTTTTTCACCAGAAGAAAAAAAATGAACAAACATCATTCAGTAGCAAACCATCCCCAGTGTATTTTGTACTAACTACTTGCTGTATAAGAAAATAACAAAAAAAGTTCAAAGATACCTCCTGCAGCCTTTCATTCTCGGCCATGTATTTTTTGGCTGCTTCAGTAGCATCGTTGACTTGCATTTCCAGAGCTGCATGCGATGCCATCCCTTTTGCCAACTGAGTAAGAAGGGTAACAGTACGCCTCAATACACTGGTGAAGAAACACAGTGAACAGCACAGTAATTCACAGCACAAATTAAAAAAAAAACCAAAAACCCAAACCACCTCCTGTTCTCTCTCTCCGCATTAGATGTGAAAACAAAACCACAAGAGGACTGTTTAAGCACCTGAAGGGAAACATCCAGGCTCATCGACGACACATAATATTACAATAAGAGACTGAAAAGATTTTCATCCATCAAAAAATCTGATTTTTACCTGATGCAGAACCTCCCTCCTCCCAAAAACCTACAGCCATTAAGGGGTCAGAGACCTGCTTGCTTAAAGGCTGAAATACTTTTACATGACCCAGTGTTTTAAATAGGATGGATCTCTGAATACAAGACACAAGCAACATGTTACGGTAATAAGTACAGTGCAAACCCCCCCCCCCCCCCCAACTTTATAAAAGGCCTTACAAGAATAAAATTAGCAATGTGAGCATATTAATCTTCAAAGTACTCTGTCAATACTGTATAAATCAGAACACGAATGAATGTCAGCACTCATATGGCACCTCAAATCTAAGCTTTGCAAATACCTCCCTTGATTTGATCTAGTGATTGCCTCTTTGTATCACTACTTTCATTTTTCATCTTGGAGTCTTTCAAAGCAGTATGTTGCTGAATCAAGGAAAGGCCAAAGCAACACTGAATTAAATTAATTCCTGTAATATAACTATGCAGCTGCTCTTCAAAAGAAATGTGAAAATCCAAGTAATTGGCTTTTTCATAACTGAAAGCATATTAATAGACCTTTTGGCTTTCATGGTAAGCCCTCCCCCCTGCTTTTTCATTGAAAGGTAATTTTCTTACTTTTTTTTGTTTTAATAAAAAAGTTAAAGTCTCCATGTCACGACTTTTCCAAGGGTTAGCATGTTTTACTATTGCTTATTAATTTATAGATGCAGCAGTCAGGAGTCAGTAAAACATTGTTACTAAAACAGAATCACAGAATCGTGTAGGTTGAAAGGGGGTTCTGGAGGTCATTCTGTCCAAGCTCCTGCCCAAAGCAGGGACAGGTTGAACAGATTGCTCAGAGGCTTGTCCAGTTGAGTTGCCACCATCTCCAGTGATGGAGATTCCAGCGTCTTTCAGGGTCCTTGTTCCAGTGTTTGACCACTCCTGATAGCAGAAAAAGTACTTTTTACCACAAGTCAGAATTTCCCAGGTTCCTGGCCTGTTGCCTCTGTCATTCCTGTGTGGATCCACTGAGAGCAGCTGGCTCCATCTTCTCTACATCCTACCACTAGATAGCTGTACAAAGCAATAGGATCTCCCCTTCAATGTCTCTTTTGCTGGCTGAAGCCAAGCTCACTCATCTTCTCCTCACAGGTCACGTGTTTCAGCCCCCAGCCTTCTCGGTACCCTGCTGCGTACTCCAGTATTTTGGGGAGTCAAAACCGGAAACAATCCTGCAGCTGCAGTACCACATGTGCCAGATAGAGGGGAATGACCACTTCTCTTGACCTGCTGACTACACCCTTACTATTACAGCTCAATACATGATTGGCTGCCTACCAGGATTCCCAGGTCCTTTTCTGCAACACTGCTTTTCTACCCAGCCAGCCAGTCAGTCCCCAGCCTGGATGCTGTACATTGGTTATCCTTTAAGATGTCGGACTTTGTGTTTGCCTTTGTTGAACTTCACGACATTGCTGGCAGCACATTTCTCCAACCTGTCTAGCTCCCTCTGAATAGCAGCCCTGCCCTCCAAGATATCAACCACTCTGATTTGGTACTGTCTGCAACTTGCTGAGAGCACATTCAATCCTATCATCCATGTTGTTAATAAGGACATTAAACCGTATTGAGCCCAGTAAGGATCCCTGAGGGGCACCAGCTGGAATCTGCATTACTATCATCCTTTGAGCCTGTCGTGGTTTAACCCCAGCCAGCAACTAAGCACCACGCAGCCGCTCACTCACTCCCCCCCATCCAGTGGGAGGGGGGAGAAAATCAGGAAAAGAAGTAAAACTCCTGGGTTGAGATAAGAACGATTTAATAGAACAGAAAAGAAGAAACTAATAATGATAATGATAACACTAATAAAATGACAACAGTAGTAATAAAGGATTGGAATGTACAAATGATGCGCAGGGCAATTGCTCACCACCCGCCGACCGACACCCAGCCAGTCCCTGAGCGGCAAAACCCTGCCCCCCCCACTTCCCAGTTCCTAAACTAGATGGGACGTCCTGTGACATGGAATACCCTGTTGGCCAGTTTGGGTCAGGTGCCCTGGCTGGGCATGAGAAGCTGAAAAATCCTTGACTCTAGTCTAAACGCTACTGAGCAACAACTGAAAACATCAGTGTTATCAACATTCTTCACATACTGAACTCAAAACATAGCACTGTACCAGCTACTAGGAAGACAGTTAACTACATCCCAGCTGAAACCAGGACAGAGCCCAAAGCCCCAGGGAATTTTCCACCCATCTTTTTTCTCCACTTCTCCAGCCCATATCCCTCCACAGTTAGGTTATCAGGATACCACAAGAGACTATATCAAAGGCCTTGCTAAAGGCACACAACATCCACTGCTCTGCCCTTTATCCACACAGCCAGACACCTCATTGCAGAAGGCAACAGGGATGATCAGGCATGATCTCTCCTTAGTAAATCCATGCTGGCTGTTCCAAGTCATTCTGTCCTTCATGTCCCTGGAAATGGCTTTGAGTAAGATTTGCTCCATAACCTTTCCATGGAGATGAGGCCGATTAGTCTCAAGTTCCCCACATCCTGCTTTTTGTCCTTGAAGGCAGGTGCAATGTTTGCCTTTCTGCAGTCACCAGGATCCTCCCCGGATCACCATGATCTTTCAAATATGACAGAGCATGGCTTTCCAATGACATTGGCCAGCTCCATCTGCGTGCAAGGATGCATCCCATCGCAGGATGCATCCTATCCTAGGATGCCATGGACTTGTATATGCCCAATCTGCTTAAGTATTCCCCAGCCGCATCTTCCATTACTGTGGGTAATGTTACATTCCCCACCAACTCTCATTAATACTATGAGGCTTGTAGAATTTGGAGGCCAAACAGCAGACCTTACCTGTAAGAAACAATGTAATGTAAGGTTGGTAATGAGACACTGAATGTCTCATTCTTTTCCATATCTTTTGTCATTTGGTCCCCTGCCCCATGAGCCCATGTTTTCTTTAGCTTTCCTTTTGTTTTCAGCTCTTCTCATCCCTCTCTGGTTCAGCATGAGGTTGGCATGGCAGAACATGGCAGGCTCTCCACATCTCCCAAGACATCAAGTCAGATTAGCAGATGAATGACTCTGTCCTACCCAGGGGACAGTCTCTGTTAACTATGACCCTCCTCTTTTTTGTGCAGACAGCTGGTAGATGAAGGCTCAGCTGGCCCCAGGACCTCCACCGATAGGAGGTAATTTTCCTCACCTGTACTCAGTGTTCTGTAATTGCTGAACCACAGATGGATAAGAGCTCTTGTTGTACTGCCAGAAGTGACAAGCTTCCAGCCTCCTCCATTTTGGGCATCTCCATCTACCACTCTTCTGGAATTCTCCTATTGGCTGATGTGCTAAAATGAACCAAAACTGACCCAAAGAATGAACTAGGGGCATCCAAGCACCCATTCGCACCTACATGTGGTCTTAACTTGCTTGGGTAATGGCAGTAGCAGTATAGGATAAGGCAACCCAAGGAACACTTTTTCCCCCTTCTCTGACAGACATTATGCCTGTTTAATGGATAAACAAAACAGCTCTACTAAGAAAAGTCCTTTGATCTAGCTACTACTGTAGGAGTATTTATTTCTTCTAAAACTTGGTGAAAGGCCAGTAGCCCAATAAAGGCCTTAAGCAAACCTCTTCAAGATCAGAACTTTTATCCACAATAAAATCTATTAGGGCCACCTGACAAGTTTTCTTCCTTGAAAGCCAAGTGGGAGTAGGATCCTGGGGGACCAGCTTTCAACTCTTGTATAGGACACAATCCAGCTATTCCTCTCTTGGAGCAGAGATCACAAACATATTTGTGCATATTTACTTAACCTTTCTGAAGGAAGACAAAGTACATGATGCACTCCTATCACTACTGTGCAAGGCTACATCCACCTTTGTTTTTTCCAAAGTTTTCCTGCTCAAGTTTTGTACAAATTTTTCCTTGACACTTCTTTATGTACAATGCTCCTCAATGATCAGCTAAAATGGCCATATGTCACTCCAATGGGAAGAAGTTTGTCAGAAGTCTCTGTGATTCCAGGCATTTCCTTGTTCTGTGTTCCTCTTGCATACCTAGGCAATGTCAAGCAGCTCACTGAAGGAATTCAGAAAAGGGTCAGCATTCTTTGCCCAGCGTCACCATAAAAATGTACAAATAGGAAGTCATCTGACCAACGTGTTTGTTTCCATTCATTCACATTATCTGTGTCCAATTAGTTCATGTGCTCCTTGCCCAACTGAGAAGATCTGCAGGTTGTTGTGGCTACTGTGAAGATTCACAGGTAGTCTTGGCTGCTACTGCTGAGCAGTATAGAACTGTCCTTTCTGTTACCCGGTTTTATTAGCTGTATTTAAACATCCTGAAAAGGATACCGCACTTCAGATCATAATATCATAGTAGGCCAGTTGCCACAAAGTGCTTCATCTGAAATAATATCTGACACTTTCCTTGGAAGCCAGAACATTATCCTACAGTTTCTAACTTTGAGCTTTAGACAAAGCGGTTCAAGTCAGACTCAGGTTTTTAAGAACAACACAGCAGGATGCAATAATACCAGCTTGCAACATATTAAGATTATTTTAACAGTACTTCAGTTTTTGAGTTTTTTTTTAATTCCAGTTTTCTGTGTTCAAAACAAACAAAACATAGGGCATAAGTTTAAGGAAGGAAATGAGTATTCCCTGAAGAAACTTCTCCTGCAAAATACATGTTTTCTCAAGCATTCAAAATGTTTCTTTCCATGTGTTGCTCACATATCCTTCCAATCTTCAAACATTTGTAAGATATTATTTTCCCTGATCTTACTTGCCTCATAGCCAATCTGCTCATGCTTAATTCTTTAATCTCTTGAAATTGGCCTTCCAAACTTTTTATAGTTGTATTACTTTGTGCCATAGTTCCTGTAAGAAACATGCTATGTAGAAATTAGAAAAATGTTATACTTACAGCCAAAGAAATAAGGAAAAACCTGAGAGATAGAGGTTTCTTTGCGATCGGAAGAGTTTCATCTGAATATGATCAAAGGCATTGGTATTGACATTTGCAGCCTTTTCGTTCACATGAACGGCCGAGTACTTCCTGACTTCCCTAACAGCATCTGTAAACAAAAACAGTTTGTTCTTATTCAAATCTGTGGGTATGCATGTATGATAAACCAGACATAGTACTAGAAATACGTATTTGGACTTTCTGCTCAGCAAACAGGCATAGGACAAGTAGTGACATCACTTATCGATACTTTTTAAAGATAGGTCTTGATAAATCACTGAAGCAATATAACATACTTCCAGACATATGGCAAACCATTGCCCAAAACATGTCTGAACAGTCATTTCCAACACTTGCACTCAGCCACCAGGGATCAGGCCAAAGCAACACACTCTACAAATGTTACCAGAGACCCTACAGACAGGGTCAAAATGTCACTGCTGACAACTAAGTTAGAATCTAGCCAGTAGACAAACAGCGAGAAAACAGGAACAGAAGGGAGAAAGAAGAGGTGCCTCTGAAGTATATGCCTCATATGGAATTTGTTAGATAAGCATTTATTTTAGTAATGACAGAAGTGTCTGCTTTATGCTTGAATGAGAGGGAAAAAATTATTTCTATAACATCCATCAAAACAGAAAGACTGTAGTAACACAGTGTTGAACATAAACAGAACAGAGGGGGTAAGCTACATCTCAGCTTTCTTTCATCTGCCTTTCATCCATCTTTCCACTTCCTTTCACCTGTCATATACTCCTGATAGTTCTGCAGAAGGGCCAATACACTGCCAACAGTTTTTCAAAGGACAAAATAATTAAATAGGACTTACATCCACATAAAACCAAAACCTAATCCAGTTAAGAGTTCATATTACAATCTGTGAACTTAAGGTCATGATACATACTTAAGGCCGATAAAGCACCTAAAATCTCCTTCTGCACTTCAACAAAAATACACATTTCATGACACATCATCAGTTCTTGCAGAATATTTTGGGCATGTGTTATTAAGTTACTGCTGCATTTATCTAAGCAGGCAAAATCACCTCCAAAGAAAAGCACATGTGAAAAACATCATTTATGACTGTCTCTTTTATATTCATAAGTTATTTAGAAGGAAAAAAAAAATTTTAAGTGAAACTCCAAACAATGCAATGAAGACTAAGACCAAACAAAGTCCATATCCCTGTGCTATAGGAAGATTCTAGTCCTGCAGTAACCTATCATCTTACGCTATGGGGCAAGCATCTCATCACTGCTTTACTTTAGCCCAAATCTATCTTTCTGCAAAATCAATGACCATCGCCAACTCAATACCAAACTTTGGTCAAAGTTTTCAACAGAAGTTCAAGGGAGTAAATGAAATCCATCAGTTCTCAATCTTAGGCCATTTACTGAAGGATCCACTTCTAAGTGTAATACTAAAGATCATCTAAAATAAAAAACACATTTATTTGCAGTTCCAGTACTTTTTTTAATACTAGGACTACAGTATTGCAGTTTAGTCTGACTTTGTTATATATGCAGTGCATCTGTATGTTTCTCTCAGCAGACAATAAAATCACTCATTTTTTTCTTTGTATTTAAAGTAGCTTGGAATTAAACAGCGTTTTCATTGTAAGGCGCTGGAAACACTTCTCTCCAATCCATGGCTGAGAACTACTTCTACCACTGAAACACAGGAGAACTATTTCCATCACTGAATACGGGAGATGCTTACCACACAAAGCAGCCAGGAAAGACATTAAATTAAATCAGTCAGGCATATGGTCATCATTCAAGCTCCAGTTTCACTAAAGCTTTACTCCTACTTGATATGCCTTAGGATCTACTTATAACAAATGTAGCCAACAGCTGTTTTGTATCTGTGCTGAGCAAAAGCACTCAAATAGCCCAGGGCTTTGATACAATCTTCTGGGCTTCTATTTCAACAGCAACCAAGAGAAAGAGTGCCATCTACTGCATGTTGCGCAGCTCAGCCAAATTCTGGTATCAAACATTTCAAGTTCATTTACTTGTGTGAGAAAGTGAAACCAAGAGCAACCTAGACCAAGCCAAGCCCTCTCCTCTTCCATTCTACTGTAGAACTTTTAAACGAATTAGCTGACTTACATTAGGCTTGAATCCTTTCAATTAATCTACTGCCATGAACTCCACATACCAGGTTTTTTTCCCCATTTGTTAAGAAATTACTTAACACTTACCAAGAAACAAGACGATCAGTAAAACTATTATTGTAAGGAACATCTTGTTCCAGAAAACTGCCATTTTGCTCCATAGCGGAATCATAAAAATCTTCTGCCATCTGTAAAATAGCATTGTGTTATTCAAAAATAATTAAACACTAAAAGAAGAGCATAATAACCTCACAGAAGAGAGCCTTGTTATTGATATGAGACTTATATAAGGTCTCTAAACAGCTGCTTTAATTGCAATATAATTTAGGTACTCGTAACTTTTTCAACAATCTAACTTGCTTGTCTCTTTTTTGTTTGTTGTCAATACAGGCAAAGACAGTTGGTTCAACTCAAAAACTTCTCACATGATAGCAGGTACTCTCCAGATGTGTTTTATTTTAGCTTTTACTTTGGCTAGCATTATTTTGTGTTTGGTCCCGATTACAATAAACTCAAAGATGGGGTAAAGACTGTAAAATCCATTCCATCATTTTTATTTCTATCCACTTATACCCCATGTTGCCAAATAAAATAAAAACCCTCCACAAATTAAAATCACCTCTACCATCCTTCTTCAGAAGGCTGTTTTACACTGATGAGTCTGCATAATTGTAAAGTACAAGGATTGTTATTACATTCTAACTTGCAAATGACAACAAAAGGATAAGTATCATGTTTTTATTTTGTCAAGGGTTAAAAACTCTTTCAAGTGCATAAATTTGCTGGCTACAGAAGCAACTTCAGTGGCCCAATGGTGGTGAAGACCTTTTTTTTTTTTTTTGGTTGTTTAAACAACAAATTGCCTATTCAATATTACTGCATGGAGGGCTCTGCAAGAATTCACACTTGCAGCACAAACAAAGAACATCTGATATGCTCAAATGGACTGAAACCTGCAAGAGACAAAACCAGAGCAGCTACTTGTCCTTTGCACAGGTTAGAATCAGCGCTATTGCACAAATGAAGTAATACCTAGTTATGCCATTAGGGATGTAACACAGGCATGCTAGTCACCATCTGATTATATCAGGTAAAATTTCCAACTTTTGTTAAGAGTATTTACATTTTCCAGAGACTGTTAAAATTTGTCCTTTAACAACGCAGTTTCCAACCTACTATGAACTTAATTTAGACTGCAGCATCATCTCCAATGGTTCCTTCTGGTTCTGCACCAGAAAGAATTAAAATGTTTCAACATTGTATGTGCAAACCCCTCATTTAAATCTTTTAGTATAATCTGAATTCTTTATAGGAGACAGCCATAGTCTGTATCAACCAAAAAGCTTACTTTAATTAGACCAAGCTACAACTCAAACAAAGCCAACTTGCTAACTCTTTTAAACATGCAATTCTCCAAGTTTCATACTGATCTCCATTTAAGAAGTGATTCTCTAAGGTATGATCTTAGACCAACTGTACTGCCAAGTTATATTCAGGCTAAAAATAAGATCTCTTTACTGCAAAGTCTTCCTATGTTACATTTTCACACTTGGTTTTCCTCAACAAGTACTGACATTCACATTTATTAATACTCCATTTCCTTTTGGTGACAGAAGTCACATAAATATAATTCTTCCAAACTATAATACTGGCCACCACTATAGATGGACCACACTTTGCGGTACGGTTCTGTCTTTTTGTGTACTTGCATTTTTATGTTGTCACTTTACTTATTCCCCAGGAACTTAAACACTTGTTAGCAAATTATCCAAAAAACGTGCAGGCACAAAAGAGGCAAACAATCTGTTTGAAAACTGACAACCAAGTAAATCAAAACTTTAAAGAACAGCAGTTTCACATCTGTCTTTAATCACAGATGCTTTACCCCTCTGACAGAACCAGCTCCCAGGCCACCAAGATGCATAAGGCAGAACTGCTGCCCTCCGGTACTGTTGCAGCAGTTAAATCTATTCTTTAACCCCACAAGACTCCTATGACAGTTTTATTAAGACAGTAATTGCACATGTCACATAAAGGATAAAGCTATTTCACTCTTTCAGAAACCACTGTTCAAAGGAATAGCAGAATGCTACAAACCAACCACAAAAATCTATCCTTCGTATATAATTCAAAGCACTGTATTTGATGTTTGAATAAATTTTGAAAAACACTGAAGGTTATGAATTTGCTTTTCAGCCACAAAGACTGGATTCAAGCCCTGTTTAAAGTGAAACCTATTTCAATACTCCGAATGTACTCTGCATGTGTCATCAGCCTGCAGAAATTCTTGCAGCTAGTTTCCTCACCCTCACATAAGCCATTAATAATCTGATGATTACAACTCCCATAATACTTCTCCCTTCTTACATACAGTTGCACTTTGGATTAGAAAACAATAGAAAATATGAGAATTCAATCTATGTTGAAGTGCTGAACTCCTCACAAGCCAGCTTGTAAAAATCAGAGGTTAAATTAGATTTTAGAACTGTTTCATCTTCTGAAGTTGAGGAAACATGACTAATCACTAATAACGGCTGTGGAGGATCCAACCATTTTCAAGACTCTCCCACAGGTTTAAGTAGTTAAATTATAACTCTCCACACAGCAGGGTTTTGGTTTAGGTTTTGTTCCTTAAGATATTACAGTAAAAGCTGCATTCTTCATTCTAAATATATCTAAAGATGCAGAAGGCAAACATGTAACAGTTTTTACACAACAAGGAGACAAAGGCAGTTTTTTTTTTTTAAAGTTTTAAGGTTTTGTCCTAACCAGGTGTTTGTTTTTTTTTTTTTTTTTTTTTTAAGAATTACTGATATTCTGGAAAGAAATCATAAGTCTTTTTCTTGCCTCCTGTAGAGAAGCTAGGTTTCTTTATTTCTTATAAAGAAATAAAAATAACATTACTAAATTTGAAGAGCTACTTACAGGAAGCAATCTTAAGATAATGCTGTAAGCTAGGCCTTCGCATATACAATAAGAGTAATTAATACACGTTGTTTCTTTCCCTTACTAAGGGCATTTATTTTACAAGAATGAATTATTTTTCTTATTGTTCGTGTTGTGTTCCATAAGTATTATTATTTTGTTAATCGATATATAAGTTTATAGAGGCCTTTATTTCAGAAGTCCTGAAGTGCCTTTTGCATCAAGTTGAAGTCCACATTTTTTTTAAATAAACGATCACAAATTTCTTACAGCCCTTACACACGCTGTAGGTGGCTACCTTTGACTATCAGATATCTCTTTATCTGTTCAGCACCCACAATGCCTAGTGTACACCACAACGTTGTAAAGCTGCTCCTCACAAGCTTGAGAAACAACTGAAAAAACTACACCATCCTCCTGTTTCTTACTGAGCTCACAGCACGGGAAGCCAGACACCCTCCTGTAAACCGGCTACTCCAAAAACCCCAAGAGAAGACTTGCTAAAGCAAAGCAACGGGGCTCATCCCGGGAACGTTGACTGCTGCTTGGATGAATCAGCAGTGTGTGGAAAACAAACATAAAGCTCCTTAAAAGAGGCTTATGATTGCTGAAACTCCTGATACTCAAGTCCCGAGCAGCATTGCTTCAGCTTAGTTCACAACTAGTTTAAGATGCTGCATAGCTCCGTGTTTATAAAAACAAACGTGTAAAATAAACCCAAAACAGTGAAAAGACCGAGCTGGGGTCGTCCAGCACACTTGAGTCCTACCTCAGCGGAGAAATAAACGGCAGGCAGAGTACGAGAATTACTCCTATTTCACCGTACAGAAAGGCGGCAACTGCCGTCCACTGGAAAGTCATCGTCCCGGCAGGCCTGCGGAGGAAGGAGCGGCTCAGCCGGGCCCACGGCACCCCAGCCGCCGGCACCGGCACCGCCGCCACGGCGGCTCCGGCAGCCCCCCCGGGCCCAGGCTGCCTCGCGTAAGGCCACGGAGTTTCAAAGGGGAAGTACTTCTAAATAACTTAACCGCAGCTCCCGGGGGGTGTGTGTGGGGTGTCTCACTGTACCGGCTTCCCCTCCCGAACCAGCCCCCCGGGCAGAGCCCGTCCGCCGGGGGAAGGAGGTGGGGACTGGGACCCCCACCACCGCCGCCGCGCCTGGCTCGGC